TTTGAACAGATGTAGAGAAGACTGCAGACAAACAGGTACAACGTATGGTCGAGGACTTTTTCATCTCTGTTTATCACCAGAGGCCAGTCACTTCACTGGGGAAATGTGAGGATTTACAACCACTTTAAACCAGCCAGAGGGGAGATATTCTGTAGTTCTAGCACACTTCCTATTCTAGGAGCAGGGGTGGACTGACAACTCATGGGACCACTGGGCAATAGGAGATCATGGGGCCCCTGTGTCCTTGCCCAAACTCAAAAAAGCCTATGAAAAAGGTACCAGGGGCATCTCATGGGGCCCCTACTAACCTCGGGCAGTGCCCGAGTTTCCAAATGGTCAGTCCGCCCGTCTAGGAATAAAGGTGCTCACTGACCTATGAGTATCTATGGAGGTGCAGAGTTGTCACCCTAGGACAGGAAGTATATTGAGACTACAGAACGCATCCCCTCTCCTCCATTACATAGGAGGAGGTGTTCTGTTGTTAACAAAAGAGAACGGGGAAGGCTGATTTCCCAAGTCATCTTTAAGGACAGCCCAAGAGATGTAGAGCCCCTTCCAATGGGACAGGAAACATGTTACCGCTCAGAGAAAAAAAAAAAGAGGCCCTCCAGGCCGCTGCTTTAGTATTTCCTCTGGACAGTGGGAAAGGGCGGGTGCCTCTCCAGAACAAACGTGTGAGGTGGCTACATGGTTTTTTTTTTTCAACATTCATAAAACACTGTCGGCTGGATCTCTGGAGCAGTCATCTGGCTGCAAGGTCCTCCAAGTGATGGTCCTACTCTGGGCTGGTTCTTGCTTATCTTCTCATGGGTTGTCCTGGAAGACGACTCAGGAAAACTAAAGTTAAACTTACTGGTAACTATTTCCAGGACAGCCAGATTCCCACCCTTTGCTTGTAATTATGTTTTTTTGTATATTTTTCCAGGACAAGCATTCAGTTGCATTTACGGAAGCAGGGGCCTGAGAGACCACCTTTTATTCACTGAGGGGTAACAAGCTTCCTGTTCCGCTGGGAGGGGACTCTATGTCTTTGTGGACTGTCCTGCAAGACTCCTGGAAACAGAGTTTATTCCACAGAAAGGTACAAAGACATTGGACGTCTGCTCAAGATCTAGAAGTGCTTTTCTGTATTTGCAGAAAAATAAAAAAAAGGAATACAGCCACCACTTCTGAAGACTGCTATGCTGTAATGTACTACATTTCTGTTCGTGGGGTAAGGTATACTTTTACCAGATGTAGAAGTTTGACTATAATGTTAAGTTTATTAGTTTCCTGTAATTATGTAGTGTAGTTAAATCATGCAGCATTTTACAGAGAACATATACAGTGGATATAAAAATTCTACACACCCCTGTTAAAATGAAACAAAGATAAATCATTTCAGAACTTTTTCCACCTTTAATGCAACCTATAAACTGTACAACTCAATTGAACAACAAACTGAAATCTTTTAGGTGAGAGAGAAGTAAAAATAAAAATAATATAGTTGCATAAGTGTGCACACCCTTAAACTAATACTTTGTTGAAGCCCCTTTTGATTTTATTACAGCACTCAGTCTTTTTGGGGAGGAGTCTATCAGCATGGCACATCCTGACTTCCTGGAAATATTTTCCCGCTCTTCCTTGCAAAAGCACTCCAAATCTGTCAGAAGGCGAGGACATCTCCTGTGCACAGCCCTCTTCAGATCACCCCACAGATTTTCCATCGGATTCAGGTCTGGGCTCTGGCTGGGCCATTCCAAAACCTTAATATTCTTCTGGTGAAGCCATTCCTTTCCTGATTTGGATGTATGCTTTGGGTCGTTGTCATGCTGAAAGATGAAGCTCCTCTTCATGTTCAGCTTTCTAGCAGAAGCCTGAAGGTTTTGTGCCAATATTGACCTTTATTTGGAACTGTCATCATTCCCTCTACCTTGACTAAGGCCCCAGTTCCAGCTGAAGAAAAACAGCCCTAAAGCATGATGCTGCCACCACCATGCTTCACGGTGGGTATGGTGTTCTTTTGGTGATGTGCAGTGTTGTTTTTGCGCCAAAACATATCTTTTGGAATTATGGCCAAAAGGTTCAACCTTGGTATCATCAGACCAGAACACATTTTCCCACATGCTTTTGGGAGACTTCAGATGTGTTTTTGCAAAATTTAGCCGGGCTTGAAAAGGCTTCTGTTTTGCCACTCTACCCCATAGCCCAGACATATGAAGAATGTGGGAGATTATTGTCACATGGACCACACAGCCAGTACTTGCCAGATATTTCTGCAGATGTTAATGTTGCTGTAGGCCTCTTGGCAGCCTCCCAGACCAGTTTTCTTCTAGTCTTTTCATCAATTTTGTCGAGCATGCAGCCCGGCAGGTCAGGAAAGGAGGTGGGGGGACAAGCGAGCGCCCCCCTCCTGAGAACCATACCAGGCCACATGTACTCAACATAGGGGGCTCCCCCCCAAAGCACCTTGTCCCCAATGGGACAAGGGTCTCTACCCCACAACCCTGGGCTGTGGGGGCCTGCGGGCGGGGGGGCTTATTGAAATCTGGAGTGGGCAGCGGTACCATGTACCACATACTCATTCACAAGGGGGGGCCAGGATCTTTTTAGATTCCGATAAGCCCCCCGCCCGCAGACCCCTGCAACCACAGCCGAGGGTTGTGGGGAAGAGGCCCTTGTCTCCATCAACATGGGGACAAAGTGCCTTGGGGGGAGGAGGAGACCCCCACCACACCAAAGCATCCCCCATGTTGAGGGCATGTGGCCTGGTATGGTTGAGGGGGGGCGCTCGCTAGTTCACCCCCCCCCCCCCCCCACCTCTTTCCTGACCTGACGGGCTGCACAGTTGGAAAAGGGTCTGGTATGGATTTGGGGGGGGGGGGGGGGCACAGCTTTTTTTTTTTTTTTTTTTTCGGTGTGGGGGTTCCCCTCAAAAGCCTTACCAGACCCAAAGGGCTTGGTATGGATGGAGGGGGGACACCACAAATTTTTTTATTATTTTTTTAATTGCTGGCAATTCTTTCTTTTACTTTCAGCTGTCAGTGGGGAACCCTGCTGACAGCTGAAACATTAACGCATGGTTTTCACTACTAAAATACCGCATGACTTAATAAAATAACTAATAACTTTAGTAGCGTTTTTTTTTTTGTGAATTCAAATGTGCAAATCTGCCCAATTTTAGCTACAAAATTAAGTCACTTGTCCAGGATGTTCCGCTTCAAAAACGCTAGTCATTTTTCAAGCGTTTTTGAGGCAAACCAGTGTGAAAGCAGCCATACTGTGTTCCATGGTATATCTAATGCCTTAGAAATTCTTTTGTACCCTTCTCTTGCCTGATACCTTTTAACAATGAGATCCCTCTGATGCTTTCAAAGCTCTCTGCGCACCATGGCTTTTGCTGTAGGATGTGACTAAGAAAATGTCAGGAAAGACCGACTAGAACAGCTGAACTTTATTTGGGAGGCACTTTAAATGATGGTGGGTGTGTACTGACTCCTATGTAACATGATTTTGAATGTGATATCTTAATTCTGAACACAGCTACATCCCCAGTTATAAGATGGTGTGCACACTTATGCAACCACATTATTTTAAGTTTTTTGTTTACTCCTCAAAAGATTTCAGTTTGTTTTTCAATTGCATTTGTACAGTTTATAGGTCACATTAAAGGTGTAAAAAGTTCTGAAATGATTTATCTTTGTCTCATTTTTTTACATCACAGAAACCTGAAATTTTAACAGGGGTGTGTAGACTTTTTATATCCACTGTAACCTATGACATCAGTCCCTGTCCTCTCAGGGAGCTTACGGTCTAATTCTCAGATACAGAATAAGTGCTATATTGGTCAATTTTCCTTGGAGAAGGAATGGGGGATATGTGCTAAAAAGGAGGGGGGGGGGGGGGGGGGGGGAGTTTGGAGGATGTTATGCTGGAAAGGGTAATTTGGAGGGGTTTTAGCTAGAGGAGGGATTTGGGGGAATTTGTCCTAGGTGGGAGTATTGAATGAAGAGGCTGGGAGGGGGGATTGGAAGAGGGGATTTGTGTTAGGCGGTAGGAAGGGTGGGGAATTTGTACTGGGGGGGGGGTGATTGTGCTAGAAGAGGTGATTGAGGGGAGGGTTGTGCTAGGAGGGAGAATTGGTGGGGGGTTGTGCTAGGAGGGGGGATTTGTGTGGGAATTTGTGCTAGGAGAGGGGATTGGGTGAAACTCGTGCTAGGAGGGGGGGGTTTGGGGGAAACTCGTGCCAGGAGGGGGGATCGGGGGAAACTCGTGCCAGGAGGGGGGATCGGGGGAAACTCGTGCCAGGAGAGGGGATCGGGGGAAACTCGTGCCAGGAGAGGGGATCGGGGGGAAACTCGTGCCAGGAGAGGGGATCGGGGGAAACTCGTGCCAGGAGAGGGGATCGGGGGAAACTCGTGCCAGGAGAGGGGATCGGGGGAAACTCGTGCCAGGAGAGGGGATCGGGGGAATCTCGTGCCAGGAGAGGGGATCGGGGGAAACTCGTGCCAGGAGAGGGGATCGGGGGAAAGCGTGCCAGGAGAGGGGATCGGGGGAAACCCATGCCAGGAGAGGGGATCGGGGGAAACCCATGTCAGGAGAGGGGATCGGGGGAAACCCGTGCCAGGAGAGGGGATCGGGGGAAACTCGTGCCAGGAGAGGGGATTGGGGGAAACTCATACTAGGAGAGGGAGAGTGAAGCAGATTTGTTTTAGGACACGGGATTAGGGGAAATTGTGATAGAAGGGGGGATTAGGAGAGGTGGTGCATGGAGGGGGGGATTTTTGCTGAGGGGAGGGGGAAGTATTTGTACTGGGAAGTATAATTTGGAGGGGGTTGTCCTAGGAGGAGGGTTTTGGGGGATTTGTTCTAGAAGGCGGGATTGGGAAGATTTATGGGAGAGGAGATTTAAAAGTTTCTCAGACAGATTAATTACTACACTGTGGGAGACCGGAACTACAATAACGGTTTCAGAAGCTTTTCAACTTCTTGAAAAAAAAATTGGCTGAAGTTGGGACTCATCACTTGTGAGAGCCGAGATGTGACAGAAGACAGTTTTTCTTTGAAAACTGTTTCCCACATTCAGAACATGAATATGGCTTCTCTCCCGTATGGGTTTTCTTGTGTGCGCTGAGACTAGCACTATGGGCATAACACTTCCCGCATTCCAAACATGAAAACGGCTTCTCACCAGTGTGAATTGTTTGATGATGAAACGAGATACTGTTTACAGGAAAATCCTTTCCCACATTCTGGACATGAATACGGCTTCTCTGCCACGTGGCTTCTCTGGTGTGAGGTGAGCCTTTGCCGCCGGGAAAAGCATTTACCGCATTCTGGACAAGAATAAGGCTTCTCCCCTGTGTGAACTCTTTCATGTTTAACGAGGTGGGATTTCAGAGTAAAGCATTTCCCACACTCAGAACACGAAAATGGCTTCTCCCCTGTGTGACTCCTCTCATGAATAATCAGCTGAAGCTTCCAAGCAAAACATTTCCCACAGTCAGAACAGGAAAATGGCTTCTCGCCCGTGTGGATTCGCCGATGCCTATCAAGATTTGATTTCTCTCTGAAGTCCTTGCCGCAATCAGAGCAGGAAAATGGCTTCTCACTGGTGTGAACTCTCTCATGCTTGGAGAGAACCGATTTTACTGTAAAGCATTTACCGCACTCAGAACAGGAGTAGGGCTTCTCCCCTGTGTGACTTCTCTGGTGGATGGTGAGCTGGACCTTCCATGCGTAGCACTTCCCGCACTCTGCACAGGAAAAAGGCTTCTCTCCTGAGTGAGTGCTCTGATGCGCATCAAGATTGGACTTCTGTTTGAAGCTCTTTCCGCATTCTGCGCAGGAGAATGGCCTCTCGCCAGTGTGGATTCTCTGGTGTTTAATAAGTCCGCCCTTCCAGTAAAAACATTTTCCACATTCTGAACAGGAATACACGTTCTTTTCCTGTGTGAAGTCTCTCGTGGCCAATAAGAATGCGTTTCTGGGAAAAACTTTTGCCGCATACAGAACAGTGGAATTTTGCACCCTCCTGGCTTTTGGGATGAGTGGTGAGATGGGAGGGATCTGGAAGACAACCACCATGTGTAGAGGGACTGGATAGTAATGGAAGGGAATTCTTAACAGTGGAGTCTTCTCCTGAAGAATCAGATGTGCCGTCATCATCTGTTTCATACTCCAAAGACATGAAGGGATGTTTCTCTGGGTTATTTATATGTTTGGGTCCATCTGAAGGCAAAAAGACATTTATGGAAATGAGAGTTGTTAGCAAACGGCAATCCTGACAAATTCTCTGTACGTTTCTCTGGATCAGTTTTGTATTGAAGGAAAACATAAGGCTCTGTTCACTAGCATTTTTGAGCTTAGAGCTACAAAACACTCAACAAGGAAAATTACATTAACCTCCTTAGCGGTCTGATTATGTCCATATTTCTGTGCTCAAAGCGGTACTTTTTTTGCATTGAAATATGTATTTTTTAGGAATAACTCACTGAAATCTGTCCAAACAAGAGTCTAGTAAACATCCCGGGTATGTTAAAATTTGAAACACAAAATCATAAATTATAATTTAGTAAATAATCATAAAAAATAATATAATAATAAAAAATGTAATTAAACAATATAATTAAATCAAAAACACTGAAATTTGAAATAGAGCGCCGAGTTCGCACAGCACTGAGCAGAGTCGCAAAATCGTTTTCAGTGTCTGATGACGAATTTCCTCACGAATCATTATCACTCAATTCTGCAAGTGGTTCTGATTTACTATCACTGTTCTCTAGCTAGTCTAAAACCGCTTTTGACCTAAAGGGACGCTTTTTGGACGCCATGGACGTTTCTCAGTTTCCAGGCAGAAAGAACAGTAAAAATGCAGGCAGGGCACAGGACAAAGCACTCTGGGATAAAATGTATGTGAAATGGTTTGATACAGTAATGTTTTACTATGTGATTTTAGTGAATTTAGTGAATGTCACTTTTACAACTTTCAAATTTCCCGCCAGTTCCGCCCCCGTACGTCCCGACGTCACAGGGAACGGAACCCGGAAGACAGATGCCGGCATCGGCCAGAGGACTTTGCAGGGGACACTGCAGGAGGGACATCGTGGGAGCGCAGGACAAGGTACGTGCAAAAGAGATCCTGCATAGTATTCCTAAGTGTAGCTCGGGGTTACGGCTTGTGGTGCTGAAACTTTACCCCGAGCTACACTCGAGAATACTGCCAGGGGGGTTAATTTCAATGGTCCCTGTTTACATTTGAGCATTGTGTAACCTGTAGCAAAATGCCTGTTGCTCAAAAAAGTACTGCTACTTTTGAGGCAGAATAGACTTCAATAGAAAACGGCCGAATGTTGAGAAATAAGCATTGTTTTAAAAACATTTTCAGCTCAAACAGCAGCTCCAATCCCCTTTTCTAGCATCTCTGTACACCTTATAAACATATCTGGTGTTCAAAATGGAAGATAGCTTACTGCTGGAAGCAGAGACCTTCATTGGTCTAATTTGTGGCCATCCCTGCATCTATGATCCCAGGGATCCCCATTATAAGAGCCCAGCAAGAACCACCTGAGCTTGGCAGCAAGTTGGAAGAAGCTACATTGCTCCCCAAATAAAGGCGAAAGGTACAGCAGCCATGTGCTCGATTCTGGTTTTCCTGTTGCATGTGCCTAGGACTTTTTCACAGCATTTCTTGCAGGCATGTCAGTCAGGCATGATTTCCCAGTGTTTTGAACTACATATCTTGCTCTAGACCGTTTGTGGAAACTTGCAGCTCTATTCTTTTCTAGAAGGGTGATCCAGCCATGTGATCAGTCTTCTCCATTCTGTGTTGACTTTGTAAAATCTGCCTAGAAGTTTTCTGCAACATTTCAGCTGCATGTTTTCCAGAAAGCAGAGCAAATGTATGTACTTGCACACTGTGTTCATCCTCATCTTATGTTACATGTAAACACGTTTTCATTGGACACATCATAAACGCCTAAATGAAAAAAAACGCCTAACAGATTTGCAATTCTGCTCAAAAAACGCTCAAAAAAGCCTGCAAGAAATGCCTCAGAACACTCAGCTCAAGTGTGAATGTAGCCTCAGATTCCCCCAACCCGAAATGTGGTCATAAATTTGTTTTTTCTTTCATATGAATAAATAATATTTCTTAGGCTCTCTGTGTTTTTTTTTTTTTTTAAACTTAAAGCAAAACCCAAAAGGGGAAGTTTTGTTTTAAGCCCTTGTCCCCTAGTTCCCTGTCAAGGATTGGCACCTTGAGGGAGCAGAAGTTATCCTCCCCTCTCCCTCCCTGTAGTCTTCTGGGACACATAACAGGTCCTAGAAGACAACAGGACCATTCACAAACCGCAGTGCTACTTGCACATGCGCAGTGGGCACCCAGCTGTGAAGCTGCAAGCTGTCTCAGCCGGGTGCCCACACTAAAGATGCCTCGGTGAGAAGATGGCTGGTGAAATCAGCTGTGGTGAGGACATCGCTGGATCGTGGGACAGGTAAGTGTCTGTATTTTAAACATCAAGAGCTAGTCTTTTGCAAATCTCCTTTAAAACGAACCCTTACTACAATTTAGTCTAATTCCAAGAAAGAAAGAAAGAAAAAAAAAAAAAAAAAAAGAAAAGAAAAAAAGAAAGAAAAGAAAGAAAAGAAAAAAAAAGAAAGAAAAGAAAAGAAAAGAAAGAAAAAAAAGAAAGAAAAAAGAAAAAAAGAAAAAAAGAAAGAAAGAAAAAAAAAGAAAGAAAGGAAAGAAAGGAAAGAAAAAAAAAGGAAGGAAAGGAAAGAAAAAGGAAAGGAAAAGAAAGAAGGAAAAAGGAAAGGAAGGAAAGGAAGAAAGAGGAAGGAAGGAAGGAAGGAAAGAAAAGAAAAAAGAAAGAAAAGAAAGAAAGAAAGAAGGAAAGAAAGGAAAGAAGAAAAAAAAAGAAAGAAAAGGAAAGAAAGTGAAAGGAAAGAAAGTGAAAGGAAAGAAAGGAAAGAAAGTGAAAGGAAAGGAAAGAAAGTGAAAGAAAAGGAAAGAAAGTGAAAGGAAAAGGAAAAAGGTGAAAGGAAAGGAAAGAAAGAAAGGAAAAAAAAAGAAAAAGAAAGAAAGAAAGAAAGGAAAGAAAGGAAAGAAAGAAAAGAAAGAAAAGAAAGAAAAGAAAAAAGAGAAGAAAAGAAAGAAAGAAAGAAAGAAAGAAAGAAAGAAAAGAAAAGAAAGAAAGTGAAAGTGAAAGGAAAGAAAGTGAAAATAAAGAAAAGAAAGTGAAAGAAAGGAAAGAAAGAAATGAAAAAAAAAGAAAGAAAGAAAGAAGGAAAGAAAGGAAAGAAAGAAAAAGAGGAAAGAAAGAAAAGAAAGAAAGAAAGAAAGGAAAGAAAGAAAAGAAAGGAAAGAAAAGAAAGAAAGAAAAGAAAGAAAGAAAAAGAAATGAAAGAAAGAAAAAGAAAAGAAAAAAAAAAAAGAAAGATAAGAAAGAAAGGAAAGAAGGAAAGATAGGAAAGAAAGGAAGAAAGGAAAGAAAGGAAAAAAAGGAAAGAAAAAGGAAAGAAAAGGAAAGAAAGGAAAGAAAGAAAGAAAGAAAGAAGAAAGAAAGAAAGGAAAGAAGAAGGAAGGAAGGAATGGGAAGGAAGGAAGGAAGGAAGGAAGGAAGGAAGGAAGATAAAGGAAGGAAGGAAGGAAAGGAAGGAAGGAAGGAAGGAAGGAAGGAAGGAAGGAAGGAAAGACAAGAAAGAAAAGAAAGAAAGATAAGAAGGAAGGAAAGGAAAGAAAGAAAGAAAAGAAAGAAAGAAAGAAAGAAAGAAAGAAAGAAAGGAAAGAAGAAAGAAAGAAAGAAAAGGATAAGAAAGTGAAAGGAAAGAAAGTGAAAGGAAAGAAAGTGAAAGGAAAGAAAGTGAAAGGAAAGAAAGAAAGAAAGTGAAAGAAAAGGAAAGAAAGTGAAAGGAAAGGAAAGAAAGTGAAAGGAAAGAAAAATAAAAAAAAAAAAGAAAAAAAAAAAGAAAGAAAGAAAGAAAGAAAAAAAGGAAAGAAAAAGAAAGGAAAGGAAAGAAAGAAAGAAAGAAGGAAAGAAAGAAAGAAAAAGAAAGAAAAGGAAAGAAAGTGAAAGGAAAGAAAGTGAAAGAAAGAAAGTGAAAGGAAAGAAAGTGAAAGGAAAGAAAGAAAGAAAGTGAAAGAAAAGGAAAGAAAGTGAAAGGAAAAGGAAAGAAAGTGAAAGGAAAGAAAGAAAAAAAAAAAGAAATAAAAAAAAGAAATAAAAGAAAGAAAGAAAGAAAGGAAAGAAAGAAAGAAAGAAAGGAAAGAAAGGAAAGAAAGAAAGAAAAAGAAAGAAAGAAAGAAAAGAAAGAAAGAAAAAAGAAAGAAAAAAAAAAAAAGAAAGAAAGAAAGGAAAAAAAAGAAAGTGAAAGAAAGAAAGAAAAAAAGAAAGAAAGAAAAAAGAAAGTGAAAGGAAAGAAAGAAGTGAAAAGAAGAAAGAAAGTGAAAGGAAAGGAAAGGAAAGAAAGAAATGAAAAAAAGAAAGGAAAAAAGGAAAGGAAAGGAAAGAAAGAAAGAAAAGGAAAGAAAGTGAAAGGAAAGGAAAAAAGAAAGAAAAAAAAGAAATGAAAAAAAGAAAGGAAAGAAAGAAAGAAAAAAAAAGAAAAGGAAAGAAAGGAAAGAAGGAAGGAAGAAAAGAAAGGAAAGAAAGAAAAAGAAAAGAAAGGAAAGGAAAGAAAGAAAACGACTGCCTAGGTTTAACCACTTCCCGACCGGCCGTTGCATATAAACGGCCGGACGGTGGCAGTGCAGGGTCGGGTGGCCGTCTATAAAACGGCCCTCCCCGCACCCTGCTTGTGCGCGCGCCCTGGGAGCGCGCAGCACCGCGATCCGGTGCTCGCTGTGTCCTCCGGACACAGTGAAACACCGATCGTCGGACGGGACCTCTGTACGAGGTCCCGATCATGTGATCACTGATTGGCCAATCAGTGATCACATGCAAAGTAGTAAGCAAGATGTCACTTGTGACATCATTGATTACTACGTGTGAAATCTGTGAATAATCACAGAGGTCACATGGTACAAGCCTATTCACAACAGGCTTGTACCATGTGACAAGCTGTGACCAATCACAGCTCGGTCAGTACTTCTCAATGAGTGCATGAATGCACACAGAGAGAAAGAGAAATGATTGCTTTTACATTCTATATGGGTGTAAAAGCAATGTGTAAAAAAAAAAAAAAATCTTC